GTGTGTGTGTGTGTGTTACGGAGGGAGGGCGGGGGAGCAGTAGTAGGCAGATGCTGAGGAGAGAAGCAGGACGGAAAATACAACAAGTGAGTGAACTGTTGCTCTGCAAATAAAGTCGGGATTTCTGCACGGCGAAAGTCTGTTAAAGTAACTCGTCAGAATATGTGATTTTATTTCAGGGAGCGCAACTTTTAATTGTATTATTGTTACTCTTTTTTTTTCTTCAAATTTCCTCAGTGTCTGCTCGGACTGCCTTCAGCGCCGTGGAAGGTGCGGTCCGGAAACCATGAGCGAGTCCTGGATGAGATGCTTACTGCAAGTTCAAATATTAGTGTGACTTTGAGTTTTTGCACCACAGCGCAACTTCACCGCGATAAGACGGTCAAAGTCAGTGTTGTAAGGATTTCATTGCGTCCTGGAACAGTTTTCCTGCGGCGTTTCCGTCTGAACCGGCAGGATGAAAAAACACTGAGAACCGGGTAGAAAAGAAAGAAGGAAAGAAAAAAACAGGTAAGCTGATGTTTTTTTGTGTGTGGATTTTGTCAAAAGTTTGCTGATTAAATCACAATTTCCTTTTACTCTGAATAAATCTGAATGTGCATTAAAATGTAGCTAGAGATTTAAATAAAAGGGAATTAGTAAGATATTAATATTAGAATTAGAGTATTTTTGCTGTTAAAAGAAACTGAGTTTATACCATAATGCATTTAGGCCTGTAATAATGTCTATATGTAGCTTTGAACCCAATTTATTTGATTTTTAAATTACAGAGGATTCCAGGTTTTATCAATAATAACAAAAATGTTAGACTTACAGTAATCCATTATTACCAACCTCTCTGTAGTCCTGTATCACATTTTTCATTATTTTAATGGCTGAATATAAATTTAAACAAATGAAGTGCTTTGTTTGTTGAATTGTTTTCTACATTCCATGTTAAAAGTTAATGTGTTATAGCAACAGGATTGAGTTTTCTTAGTCCATGACTGCTTATTTCATTATATGTGTGTTTCTCTTCTTTTTCTTCTAGATTGCAAGAGATTCAGTGATTTGTGACGCTGTGACAAAATGTTCGTCAAAGCTGCCTTTAAAACAAAAGTTTACACATTCAATGCAATTTGGCCTGCCCTTTCCTCAGAATTAGCCTTTTTATGACCTGTAATAAACCTATACTTTGAATAGGGGAGTTGACTACAGAGATAAATCTAATTCAGGGCCCTAAAACAGGATAGAAAGGTGTGAGCCCATCAACAAAAACATAGGGAGACAGGACGAGTCCAGAGATTTAGCAGTTTCCTCATTCTTCTCCTCTCATTCCTGGACAGACTAGTAAAGCGCCCTTTCCCGTATGTGGTGGGTGAGATGAACTCCAGTGGGAATACTGTAGACCCCACCTGACAGCTCTCTGCCTGAGCAACTGAAAGCTTTTCACTGGAGCCTCCACAACCACAGAGCTGGATAATAAAAAAAAAGAAACTTTCCTAAAATCCAACATCTCAACGGTGATGCTCCTTTTTAAAAAAGACATTTAAAATATTGCTGTTATTTTTCGCTTGAAGAATGATGTATTCTCTTTAGAAAGGTTGAAAGATCTCAGACATTGTGAACCAGGGGAAACTGAAAAATAAAAGGATACAAAACAAATCTGAACACCAAGAAATGGAAAAACCTATTTGTCATTCTCCCCCCGACTTCTGATTTCCTCCTGTCTGAGACTTGTCGGTCCCACTCCTAGAATAGCCCCCAATTTCTTTTCTCTGGCCCACACAATCACATATTTTCCTCCTCCATCTTCTTGATCCAGTAGTTACTTTCTACCCAGAGTTCAGCCTGGCCGGCACAACCATTCCAGCTAAGGGGGAGGAGGACTTCCTCACACTGGCCGCCTCCCGGCTCAGTCGCAAGAAACGTGTCATCGGGGCTGGAGTCGGCGTGGCCATGGTTCTGGTCTTGCTGGTGGCCATTCCCCTATTGGTCCACACCACCAAGGGGGGAGGGTCCGGAGGAGGGGGCACGCATTATGAAATGCTTGGGAGCTGCAAGATGGTGTGTGACACTTTCACCCCCCCACAGGGAGAGCTGACAGCCGTCTCCCCTCAGCCCCCAGACTTCCCAAACCGCAGGGGCAAACAGGGCTTTAGAGGGACCCCTGGAGTTCCTGGTCCTCCAGGTCCTAGAGGGCCCCCCGGAGAGCCTGGCAAGCCCGGCCCACCTGGTCCACCAGGGCCTGGACCTGGTGGCTACGGCCAATCCTTCTACAGTCCCAAAATCGCCTTCTATGCAGGCCTCCGGAAGCAACATGAAGGGAGTGAGGTATTGAAGTTTGATGATGTGGTGACCAACGTAGGGAACTACTACGAGCCGAGTACCGGCAAGTTCACCTGCCCTCTGCCTGGCATCTACTACTTCACCTACCATGTCCTGATGAGAGGAGGTGATGGGACGAGCATGTGGGCTGACCTGAAGAAGAACGGACAGGTGAGTGTGTCTGGGTGTTGGGTGGACGTGTTTGTATGAAGTCTCCCTCTGATAATGTGATCTGAGAGTTCTGCCTTTTTAAACAATCTCCCAGTTAGCAAATGTTAAACAAACAAAATTGGTGAAAATCACAAATTGGTGAGTGTGCACTCATGTGGAGAGTTTAATAATAATAATACATTTTATTTTTAAAGATTAATGTTTTATTTTTTGCATTTTGAAGTTTTAAATCATTTGAAAATATCAGTTTTTTCTGAAAACATTTATATATATATATATATATATATATATATATTTAAATTTAACTTGTGTGAATTTATGTTTTCACTAGCTTGCATTATAAAAGTTGTTCCTGTTTTGTCTCCACCTGTTGGTGTGCCACAGAGAGATACTGGTTCAAACTTATATTCTTCTTTTATTATATCTGGTACAGTGTCTTTGAGTATTCAGAAAAAGCGCTTTTTAAATTA